CGCATGCGGGCGGGCGCCTGCAACCTCAAGATTAAATCCAAACAAACTCCGCGGGGCGAGAGTCTCGAGGCGAGCTCGCCGAGTGACTCCTCACTTTCCTCTCCCTCCTTGCTCGGCCCCCGACGAGCAGAGAAGAGACCCTCACCTCCCTCACCACCAAAGTGGCCTTAGCGTTAATTGCAGCACAACTAGGAACGTGACCGCCCCGCCCCTTTCCTAGTTGGCGCCAAACGGAATTCACCAATCAGGAAGCAAACTTCCCCTCGCTCCCGAATGACAGCTGAGCTGGACCAATAAGAAGGAAAGGAGGAAGACTCGCGGGCCTCCTCGAGGTCACTCCCTCTCTCCGGCCTCAAGAGTTGGGAGGTGGCATAAGAGAAGGGAGCTCAGAAGTCAATGAAACTCCCTGCGAGCCGCTAGCACGGACGGAAAGGCCCGCTGCTCTTTTCCAGTTGCATTCTGGGTAGTGTAGTTCCCCCAGCGCGCTTAGGGCCGGCGGTATACCCGGGTTGAGCTACTGGTCCTCTAGTGCTGCACACCTCTAGGAGATTAGAAAGCCATCTGGACCTGGCTCTGGCTCTTCTATAACTATGCAGTATCATGGATTCCTCCTTTCCTTCACAGGCCTCCAGGCTCTGATTTTGTTTCTTTGCCTTCCTTCCTTCCTTCCTTCCTTCCTTCCTTCCTTCCTTCCTTTATGTTTTTTTGGTGTTTTCGAGACAGTGTTTCTCTATAGTCTCTGGAGGCCATCCGGTCTACAGAGCTACTTCCAGGACAGCCAAGACTACACAAAGAAACCCTGTCTTGAAAACAAAACAAACAGATTGTGTTTAAGGTTGTTTTTTAAGCACCCCTGGAGATAATGACCACTAACTCTGCTTAGGGCTAACCATTATTTACAGAAATCATAGGATTTCTGAATACTAATAGTAAGAAACTAAGAAAGAATTCAGGAAATCAATCCCATTTAAAATTGTCTCAAAAGAAAATCTAAAATATCTAGAAATAAACATAACCAAAGAAGTAAAAGATTTCCACAAGAATTTAATTCACTGAAGAAAGACCTTGATGAAAACAATAGATGAAAACCATGCTCATGAATTGGTGGAATAATTATTTATCAAAGCAATTCTCATGAATGTTCCAGGGACATTCTTCACAGAACTAGAAAAAAAAAATCCTAAAATCCATATGGAGCACCAAAAACCAAGCAAAAGAATGGAGAAGGTGGAGTTTCGCTCACAAATCAGCTGGACATGGAGGCAGAGGTAAGAGGACAGTGAACCAGCCTGATGTACGTACCCTACCTCAATGCCCTCCCCCTCCCCCACAAGAGAACCCGGATGTCTCCCTCTGTAGATGGTTAGGAGATAGAGCCCGGTGAGTAAGTCTTACTGTCTCCCCGACTCTCATCATTGTTTCTTCCTCATGGCAGCTAGTTGTAGCTAGCATTAAAGGGTGGAAGTGGAGAAACAGAAAGCAAGACTAAATCAAGTTGACCCTAAATTACAGTTTGGGGGCTTTTGCTAGTTTTTTTTTTTAAGTTTATTTATTTTATGTATATAAGTGCTGTATCGTCATGTATGCCTTTATGGTGGAAGAGGGTATCGTATCCCACTAAAGATGCCTGTGAACCTCCATGTGGTTGCTAGGAATCAAACTCAGGTCCTCTAGAAAAACAGTCAGTTCTTAACTGCTGAGAAATCTCTCCAGCCACCACTTGTTGATTTTTTAAAATTTATTTAATTTATTTTTATGTGCATTTCTGTAAGGGTGTCGGGTCCCCTGAAACTGGAATTACAGACAGTTGTGAGCTGCCATGTGGTGCTGGGAATTGAACCTGGAAGAGCAGTCAGTGCTCTTGGCCTCTAAGCCATGTCTCCAGCCCCAGCTTTTTCATTTTTTAAGACAGGATCTAGTCTGGCCTCAAATTTACTATACAACCATGAATACCCTTGAACTTCTGATTTCTCATGACCTTCAAGTCGCTGAAAAGTAACCTAGGCAACTGTTATCATATTCCACATGAGGGAACTAATAATCTAGTTTATCTAGTAGGAAATAGAAATGTATTAAAGTCCAAAGTTACTCATTTTAAAGTCAACTAAGAACTATCAAAGCAAGAGGGCTTATTTAGGCTTTTACTCAGTAATACTTCTACATGGTAATTGAACTTTTGTTTGTTTACTTATTATTTTATTTTTTCTAAGACAAAATTTCATGATGTAACCACACTTCAGGATGGCCTAGACTTTCAGCTCCTGTGGGTCTGCACCATGGAATGCTGAGATTATGTAGGCATGAGCCACTGAAACTTTTATATAATTACTTATTAAGTAGGTAATCTCTTTATGTGGTACAGATTTAAATATTACAAATTACATAAGTAAAAGCCTAGACTCAAAAGTTCTCAGACTGGCTGTGTGGCTTTAGGCTCCATTGCCAGCTGCTACGCCTTTGCCTGCAGTCAGTGGTGAGGCTCAGTTAGTCCAGCACTGCTACCTTAGGGTTTCCCATCCATGCAGATAAGCTTAAAGCCTTGACTACATCCCAAAGATAACTTCAGAAGGAGCCAGAGGGAAGAAAAGTTAGTGACTTTATTGAGTATTTAGATGAGTGGTTAGGAAAAGCACATTATACACTCCCAAGACGTAGTTGTGGTTATGGGCTTCTTAGGTATCTTTACCATGGCCATATATATGATTCTGTATCTCAACAGAGCCAGGCTGGCTTTGAATGCTCTGAGTAGTCAAGGACGATCTTGAGCTGATCTTCCAGCCTCCACTTAGGGGTTTGTGAATGTTAGGTGAACACTACCAAGTAAGTTACATTCCCAGTCCAGCTCTCCAGCTTTTCAGTGACATGAGAAAGAAATGCCTTTAATCTCAGAGTTTTGGAGGTAGAAGCAGAAATTTAAAGTCATCCTTAGCTACCCAGGGGAGTTCTAGGCCAGTTGGGACCTGAGATCCTTTAAAAAAAAATATCAAACAACAAAAAAATTTTTTAAAGAAAGGATGGAGGTGATAAGGTTTCTCAACAGCTGAAGATACCTGCAACCCAGCCTGATGGCCTGAGTTTGATCCCTGAGACCCACCTGGCCAAAGGAGATAAACAACTCCTACAAGTTGTCCCTTGATGTTCACATTTGAGGACACATAGGTAAGTATAATAAATTAAAAATGACATAATTTGCACAAATTTTTATTTATTTTTTGAGGGGGTGGTTCCAAACAGGGTTTCTCTGTGTAGCCCCGTCTGTCCTGGAACTAGCTCTGTAGACCAGGCTGGCCTCAAACTCAGAAATATCCAGCCACCTATTCCTCCCAAGTGCTGGGATTAAAGGCGTGTGCCACCCCCTCTGCCTCTGTTGGTGGTAGTGCTCATTATTTTCTTTTTACTTTGTTGTATAGATAAGTTTATTTTGAAATGTTTTAATTATTATTTATGTATGTATACTTGTATGTCTGTGTATATAAGTGCCTGATAAGGTCAGATACATGTCACAGCCCCCAGAGCTGGAGTTACAGGTAATTCATCTGATATTGGTGCTAGGAATCAAACTTGGGACCAATGCAGGAACAGTAAGTAGTACAAGCTCTGAACCACTGAGCCATCTCTCCAGCTGTGCTGGTCAACTCTTTGAAACAGGATCTCATGTATCCCAGGCTGGCCTTAAAGCCTAAAATAGCTTTGAACTCCTGGTTTTACTGCCTCCATCTCCCAAGTGCTGGGACTATAGGAATGTGCCACTATACCCATCATAGACTGGGATCACACAAAATAATGTGTTATAGACACAATCTTAACCTAGCTACCTTGCTTTTCTCACACCATATATCTTAGAGATGGGTTGACATCAGAAGGTAAGTATCTTTCTGGCTAACAGTGATTGTTTTGTTTGATGCTGGTTCAATCCAAGGTCACATGCTAAACTCTACATTCCTATTCCAGCTCAAATGAAAATTTGTCTTGTTTTGTTTTTGTGTGGCTTTGTTTGTTTTGTTTTGTTTTGTTTTTGAGACAGGGTTTCTTTGTACCTTTAAAGCCTGTCCTGGAACTGTGTCTGTAGACCTGACTGGCTTTGAACTCACAGTGATCCACTTGTCTCTGCCTCCCAAGTGCTGGGACTAAAGATGTGTGCCACCAACACACAGTCTGTTTTTTTTTTATTTCTCCTTAGTCTGTAAATCCACAGTTTTTTTCTTTTTTTCTTTCCTCCTCATCCCAGACAGGAAGCTAACCCTTTATGGTGTTTTCTTTTCATGTCAGAGTGTGTTGTGTCAATCGGGAGAGCTTCCTCACAATCCTTCACAGGAAAACTGGTTTTAAGTTCTGGCCCTTTAGAGACTAGGAAACACAGAAAACAAAAGGACCTTGAAAAGTATGTCACATTCTTGCTTCCATCTTGGTGAGGTCACTAGCCAACACACACACACACACACACACACACAGAGGCACACACCTAGACACACACACACACACACACAGGCACACACAGGCGCACACACAGGCACACACACACACACACACACACACACCCAGGCACACCCAGAGACACATGAATAAAATTTGAAATTAAGCTTAGTGTACAATAAAGTAACAGAAAAATAAATTAAAAACAGAGAGAAAACCCTTCCTGGAGTTGCAGAAATAAAAGGAAGCCCAATGTTGTAGTCTGTTTTTGTGTTTTGGTTTTTTTTATTATTTTATTTTGTTATTTTTGAGGCAGGGTTTCTCTGTGTAACAGTCCTGGCTGTCCTGGAACTCACTTGGTAGACCAGGCTGGCCTCAAACTCACTGCGATCTGCCTGCCTATGCCTCCCAAGTGCTGGGATTAAAGGCATGTGCCACCACCTTCCAACATATTTTTGTGTTTTTACATGGTCTTGATATGTTGCCCTGTTTGGCTTAGAACTCATTATGTAAACCAGGCTGGCCTTGAACTCACAGAAATCCACCTGCCTCCTGCTTGAACTAAAGGAATGGGCCACCACAACCAACTGTAAAAAAAATTACTGCTTAAATTAGGCATGCTGGTGTACACCTATAGTCCTAGCACCTGGGAAATGGAGACCAGAGAATGGTGTGTTTGCAAATAGCCTGAGCTATACAGTAAGTCCAGAGACCCTGCCTCAGAAGGAAAGCAAGCAAGCCTCTGTTTTCTCCTTAGATATTCTGATCCCCTAGGCTGGTATGAGGTTCTGCCTGGAATTTGCTTAATTAGAAAGTTCTCTGGATTATTTGAAACACAGCCAAGTTTGGAGCCCATTGATCTGATTTTTTTTTTTATTTTACTTTTTTTTTTAAATGCTCATTGTTGTTTTGCCTGCATGTATGTCTGTGTGAGTGTGTCAGATCTTGGAGTTACAGACAGTTATGAGCTGCCATGTGGGTGCTGGGAATCAAACCCAGTTCTATGGAAAAGGACCTGGAAAAGCAGCCAGTGCTCTTAACTGCTGAGACTTTATTTGCTTTTTTTGAGACAGGTTCTTGCTATTTTGCCCTAACTTCCTTGGAACTTGCTTCATAGCTCAGGCTGTCTTCAAATTTACAGGAATTCTCCTGCCTCTACCAACTGGGTTTACAAATATGAATCACCATGCCCAGTGAGATCCCAGGATTCAATTATATAAACTGTATTTGTATTGGTTGTTCTGCCTAATAAGTTTTGTAGATGGTATTTGGAGAACAAGCTATCCACCTTGTGGTAACAAAGATATAGCTCTTACCTCATAGGGAATAAGAGTTCATTCTGGCCAGGCATTGGTGGCGCACGTCTTTAATCCCAACACTCGGGAGGCAAAGGCAGGCGGATCTCTGTGAGTTCCAGGCCAGCCTGGTCTCCAGAGCAAGTGCCAGGACAGTCTCCAAAACTACACAGAGAAACCCTGTCTCAAAAAACCAAAAAAAAAAAAAAGAGTTCATTCTGGAGTCAAAGATGAGTGACTATGGCCCAGGAACACAGATTCAGGTCTTTCAAATATCCAACACTTACATTAGTAGCACTAAGAAAAGCATAGATGAAGGTATTTTTAAAATACACTAGTGGCTGGGCCTGGTGGTACAAGCCTTTAATCCCGGAACAGGAGGCAGACGCAGGTGGATCTCTTTGAGTTTGAGGCCAGCCTGGTTTACAGAGTGAGTTCCAGGACAGCTAGGGCAACACAGAGAAACCTTGTCTTGAAAAATAAATAAATAAATAAATAAATAAATAAATAAATATAAAAACACATTGGTGGGTGCAGTTTGGTGGCAGACACCTTTAGTACCAGCAGGGACCAATACATCTCTGTGAGTTCTAGGCCAGCCTGGTCTACATAGTGAATTTCCAGGCTAATCAGGGCTTCACAGTGATACCTCGTCTTAAAACAAAATAAAATATTGGTGGAAACTGCAAAGCAGGTAATCTCTGTATAGGCTTCCAGTGCCTATACTGAGCCATATCTCCAGCCCCTTATCTAATGACCCTCTTATCCTTTGGATTGATGGAAACAAGGTATCTGTGTGTACATTCTAAAATGGGTTTTACCTGATAGTTATGCTTATGTTAAGTCAAATGCAGAGATGGGCAATAAATAGCTATTTAGAGAGTTAAAGATAGCCCAAGATAATGTGACTTCAGACTTGCCACATTCTAGCTCTACCATCACTGAAGTCAATCAGCCTTGTAGAATGTTTTATGTGGGTGTGGCCTTCTGGAAACTAGTTCATGTCCTCATTGTTAAGTGCCTGCTCTGGGATGCCAATATTCTAGCAGAAGCCCCATGTTCTTTCATAGCTGACCAATACTGTTCCCAGAACTTTTGGTCTGCTCCCTTAATTCATAGAACTTTTTTTTTTTTTTTTTTCTGTATAACAGCTCTGGCTGTCCTCTGCCTCCCAAATGCACCACCACTGACAGGCCCGTTCGCAGAACTCTTAGGACTTTCCTCTCGCCAACAGGACTCTAGCTCTGCAACAGTTCACTGGCATCCACAACTCTATTGACTTAATGGAAATAAAAGCTCATTGTAAACTTCCTGCCCCTCCTGGTGCACAAAGTAGGAAGCAGCTCTCCCCTCTCCTCCTCTTCTTCAGATTTCTGGCTGGGTTTGGGTCAACCTCTGAGCACTGGCACCCCCAGATTGGTCTTTCTAACTGTAGTCTAACTAGAAGTTAAACAGCAGGGATTTGTCTGGCCTCAGTAATCCCCAGCTACACTTTTGAATTCTAGGTTAGTCTGGGCTACCTAAGACCCTGTCTCAAAAAACAAATGAAGGCAGAGGCAGGTGGACCTTTGTGAGTTTGGGGCCAGCCTGGTCTACAGAGTGAGTTCTAGGATAGCCAGGGCTACACGGAGAAACTCTGTCTTGAAAACAAACAAACAAACAAACAAAACACAAAAACAAATGAGCTGGGCTTAGTGGTGCACACCTTTAATCCCAACACTCAGGAGGCAGAGGCTGGTGGATCTCTGTAAATTCAAGGGCAGCCTGGTCTACAGATCAAGTTCCAGGCCAGCCAGAGATACATAGTGAGACCTTGTCTTAAAAATTTGAGAAAGAGAGAGAAGAAAGGAGAAAAAACAAATTGGGTAAAAAGTGCAAGCTTTCATATGTTTTGAAATGACTAAAGGTACAGAAAATAATAGTTACCAAAAATTTTTTCCAGGAGTGGTAGTGCAAGCCTTTACTTTAATCCCAGTACTCTGGAGGCAGAAGCAGTCAAGTCTCTATGAATTTGAGGCCAGCTTGGCCTAAGTAGTGAGTTCCAGGACAGCAAAGGCTACATAGTTTCAAAACAAAACATTTTACCAGTGGCCTTAAACTCAGCTGGCAGAGTGGTTCCTGCTTTCATTTCCCAGCACCAAATAAAACTAGGCATGGCTTTAGGGTATATGCCTGTAATCCCAGTACTTGCGAGGTAGAGGCAGGAGGATGAGCAGTTTAAGGTCTATATGGTAAATTCAAACTAGCCTGGGTTACAATGTGACTTGTCTCAAAATATAAACTAAGGGCCTAGAGAGACAATTTAGTGATTAAGAATACTTGTTGTGGGGGCTGGAGAGAGGGATCAGCAGTTAGGAGCACTGCTGCTCTTCCAGAGACCTGGGTTCAATTCCCAGCACCCACATGGGCAGCTCACAGCTGTCTGTAAGTCCAGTTCCAGGGGATCCAACA